CCCTAAACCCTAAACCCTAAACCCTAAACCCTAAACCCTAAACCCTAAACCCTAAACCCTAAACCCTAAACCCTAAACCCTAAACCCTAAACCCTAAACCCTAAACCCTAAACCCTAAACCCTAAACCCTAAACCCTAAACCCTAAACCCTAAACCCTAAACCCTAAACCCTAAACCCTAAACCCTAAACCCTAAACCCTAAACCCTAAACCCTAAACCCTAAACCCTAAACCCTAAACCCTAAACCCTAAACCCTAAACCCTAAACCCTAAACCCTAAACCCTAAACCCTAAACCCTAAACCCTAAACCCTAAACCCTAAACCCTAAACCCTAAACCCTAAACCCTAAACCCTAAACCCTAAACCCTAAACCCTAAACCCTAAACCCTAAACCCTAAACCCTAAACCCTAAACCCTAAACCCTAAACCCTAAACCCTAAACCCTAAACCCTAAACCCTAAACCCTAAACCCTAAACCCTAAACCCTAAACCCTAAACCCTAAACCCTAAACCCTAAACCCTAAACCCTAAACCCTAAACCCTAAACCCTAAACCCTAAACCCTAAACCCTAAACCCTAAACCCTAAACCCTAAACCCTAAACCCTAAACCCTAAACCCTAAACCCTAAACCCTAAACCCTAAACCCTAAACCCTAAACCCTAAACCCTAAACCCTAAACCCTAAACCCTAAACCCTAAACCCTAAACCCTAAACCCTAAACCCTAAACCCTAAACCCTAAACCCTAAACCCTAAACCCTAAACCCTAAACCCTAAACCCTAAACCCTAAACCCTAAACCCTAAACCCTAAACCCTAAACCCTAAACCCTAAACCCTAAACCCTAAACCCTAAACCCTAAACCCTAAACCCTAAACCCTAAACCCTAAACCCTAAACCCTAAACCCTAAACCCTAAACCCTAAACCCTAAACCCTAAACCCTAAACCCTAAACCCTAAACCCTAAACCCTAAACCCTAAACCCTAAACCCTAAACCCTAAACCCTAAACCCTAAACCCTAAACCCTAAACCCTAAACCCTAAACCCTAAACCCTAAACCCTAAACCCTAAACCCTAAACCCTAAACCCTAAACCCTAAACCCTAAACCCTAAACCCTAAACCCTAAACCCTAAACCCTAAACCCTAAACCCTAAACCCTAAACCCTAAACCCTAAACCCTAAACCCTAAACCCTAAACCCTAAACCCTAAACCCTAAACCCTAAACCCTAAACCCTAAACCCTAAACCCTAAACCCTAAACCCTAAACCCTAAACCCTAAACCCTAAACCCTAAACCCTAAACCCTAAACCCTAAACCCTAAACCCTAAACCCTAAACCCTAAACCCTAAACCCTAAACCCTAAACCCTAAACCCTAAACCCTAAACCCTAAACCCTAAACCCTAAACCCTAAACCCTAAACCCTAAACCCTAAACCCTAAACCCTAAACCCTAAACCCTAAACCCTAAACCCTAAACCCTAAACCCTAAACCCTAAACCCTAAACCCTAAACCCTAAACCCTAAACCCTAAACCCTAAACCCTAAACCCTAAACCCTAAACCCTAAACCCTAAACCCTAAACCCTAAACCCTAAACCCTAAACCCTAAACCCTAAACCCTAAACCCTAAACCCTAAACCCTAAACCCTAAACCCTAAACCCTAAACCCTAAACCCTAAACCCTAAACCCTAAACCCTAAACCCTAAACCCTAAACCCTAAACCCTAAACCCTAAACCCTAAACCCTAAACCCTAAACCCTAAACCCTAAATGTGACACCGCACCCGAACGTCCTTGAAAAATTCAAGTTAAAAATTCAAAGTTTACGTATTGAATTTCTGATTCCCAAACAATTGTAAATGATTGATGATTTTACGTAATTAATGATCGATTATTTTACCGTCCGAACTCGCATATTAGTGTCGGGCTTGTGAATACTCATTTGGGCCTTATTAATAAATAAAATAGCCTAACATTATCTAAGTAGCGATACATAACGTTTCAGGACAAGTTGAAGAAGGGCGGGCAGCCCAGATATTATTTTGGGCTCAACCCGCTAAAATAGCAAGTATTCGAGGACGGCGTCGTAGGCCCACTCGGGGGCGACCCACACGGCTAGTAGCCCGATAATATGGATAACAAATGTCAAAATAAGTGATAGGATGATTTGAGATGAATACAAATGCCTATGATCCCATCTTTGACATTATTGAGCTAAATAATGGGAATATGATTGTCCTTCTATAATGTCCATCATGTAAATAATTGGGATGAGCCTACACATATTGGAGATCAATAATGTGATTTAGGAAGTTGACTTGTTCTAAATAAATTAGGATGAGTACAAAAAGACATCTTTTGACAAAGATAAAACAATAGGACCCATTTTCCCCATTTTTGGAAGTATTGGTAGATAGTTTGGATCCCAAAATGATTGGGATCAATTGGGAACCACTCCACATGATATTAGTACCTGCAAGACAAATAAAAATGGGTTAGGAAACTTACCTTGGCCGACCACCATGGAGAGGAGCTGCACAAGACTTGATAGGAATCAAATGTTGGGCCACCATCCCTATTTTCGCACAAAATTGTGTGCTGGTTGTCTCCACTCATTATGGGAGTTGTACTCGACCAAATGAGGTGTATAAGGTGTCCTTGGATAGCCTTTGAAGTCTAGTATCTCAATTGAGTGGTCTTTGTTCGAGGAGAGAGAGCTTATCTTACCAGAATCGAGCTGAAGTGAGTGGTGGTCTGTAAACTCGAGCTGTGAGAGTGCTGAGACTGTTTGGTTGATATCTCGAGTTATACCAATCCAAATAAGGCGTGCGAGATACCCACAGAAAGCTCTCAAGACGAGGAATCCGTGAAGGTCTGGTTTGCATCAATCGGAGTAGTGGAAGGCTTTCAAATCGTCCGAGCAAAACACAACCTCGCGGAATACGTTTTTGTATTCAAAGTAAGTTTGAATCCAAAACCTTCCTCTCTATTGTCTAAACCATATAAATGATTGAAGAACTATTATACACTGATTGAAGTGTATAAAATGTTATTATAAAGCGACTTTAATTGTTGGAAAAGTTAGATACTAATCTAGACAAAACCTTGAAAGGTTAGGGAACGATTTCGTCGGGAAACACCCGTTCTAGGGACTGTTTTTGTGCCTTCGGTTAGGAGTTGAACTAGCACTTTGAAGAGGCTGTTTAACACTCAATTCCAAGCAAGGAATCAGTCCTCAATCTTTCTTGGCCGAGGCTTTGGTCATTGGATCGAGAAGGAAAGTTTTAAAGCTCATTTGAGGTGAGGATGGCTGACTATATTGCTTATAATCTTTGGGTTAATTTCATAAGATTACCTAAAGTAATTAAATGTGATTTTCATGGATTATTAATGATTAATAATGCCTAAGTGAAAATATCATTGTTTGTGAATAGAAGATGCATAACATACAAATTTATGAGAAATTGTGTATGATGATGCATAATAAATGTGAAGGTATAATGATTGTATAAACCATGAATTTTTGTGATAAAATATACTTTTACTTCATGTATAGAAATCATGAATGGATAAAAGTGATATTTTTGATATTGAGATTAAATCGTATACGGATTAGAAAATCCATAGGAATGAGCCTTATAACTATGAGTTAAGGAGCTTGGGCTGTTTAAAGGTTTATGGATTAGTATTTAATTTACTAATCGGGAATGTTGTATAAAAAGTGATAGAACAATCCTAAGGACTTGGATTGTGAAGGATGCACCTTAAGTAGTCTTATGAGATGCCTTAAGGTAGGAAGGGGTAACCACTAAGTTACATTAGGAGTAGGCCTCATTGGCTACTCAAGATTGAGGAACTCTAGGCATGGAATTTGCTAGTGAGTTAGTATCGTGACTAGAGGAAGCCTCTAGCACGATGAAGAATGACTGGAGGAAGCCTCCAGCATTCGTGTAGGACGAACTAGTATCGTGACTAGAGGAAGCCTCTAGCACGATGAAGAATGACTGGAGGAAGCCTCCAGCATTCGTGTAGGATGACTAGAGGAAGCCTCTAGCATAATGTAATGTGACTGGAGGAAGCCTCCAGCACAAAGTATGTAAGGTGATTAGAGGAAGCCTCTAACACCGAATTTAGTGACTAGAGTAAGCCTCTAGCACGGCAGAACATGACTAGAGGAAGCCTCTAGCATGGTGAATTTAATATAGATGGGCGTGGCTTGAAGTCACGGGGAAAGGGTTGAACGTTTTCAAGGTAAAACATGGGTCTTCGGGCCAACTACTTGACTTTATATATAAAGTAAGTATATTTTCAAAGAGGGTAACCACGGGTTATGACCTATATTATATTATCACCCTATGTGAGGGTCTTGGAAATTGAAACTTTGATTATACTTAGTATAGTTGTCATTGTACTTGTCAAATGCTTCCAAGTACTGACCTCCCCTTCACGGGGGAGGCCACCTCACAGTTTCAGGTAGGACTTGAAGGTTGCTACCGCCGCCGTTGCTTTGGGGAGGTTCAAGGAAGGAGACGTGGTTCGTGCTTCTTCCGTTCCTGTTTTGAAAACATTTTTAAATAATGCTCATGGATACTATTTGAATATTTATTTGGGCTTGTATGCCCGTGTTTGCCACGTGTGGCTTGGATACTTGAATTAATGTTTCCGCTGCTTGATTAAATATTTTGCATTATGATTGTTTATGGATGTACTATTGTGAATGATATTCATGACGCCTAGTATAGTATGGATGAGTTGGACTGCGGTTGACTATTCGTACTGTACGGCGGGTTGTTGACGTGTCCGGTGGGTCCGGGGCGTGACAATTTAATTGGTATCAGAGCCTTAGTCCGTAAACTTCATAATGAAGCTTCAAAATCTCTTTTGAAAAACGAATTTGAAAACCATGAGCATAAAAGTTTTGTACTTATAGAACTTTTGGTACTTGAGTTGCAAAGTCTCTAATTGTTAAGATGGTACCCTTAACAATTGGTATGGCGGTGATTTGAGCCAAAAGATGTCTTTAAGTACCTATCCGTCACTTGACATTTGATACGAGCCTAATGGCTCATTCTAAACTTCTTTCAGAAATGGAACGCACCGGTAGAGTGACTCGACGGAACCCGACTGGCCAGGTGCTGGGAGGATCCCAACGTGGCAGTCAGGGGGGATCAAGAGAGTCTGGGGGACAGGGCCGAGCAGGCCACTCGCTGACCGTGAGTGACGGTCACGTGGAAACAATAGATGAGCACTATGAGTCCGAGGAGGATTCAACTTACCAACCGGGAACTGAGCCGGTTGACACCCCATATGATGGGGAACACGATGATGCTAGTGATGAGAGTGATGATAATGACGCTCTTGAACGGATTGAGGAATTGCTCCGGCAATACCAACAAGATCGCCAAAGGCGCCGGGCAAGGCGTGCTTTGGAAGGGGCTTCGAGGAGAGGAAGCCGCGCGACTCCTAGGGAGAGCATTGAACTCCGAGGGGGTCGAGGTGCCGAGGTTCCTATCATAAGGATCTCAAAGTACCTAAAGGAGGCAAGAGACTTGGGATGTAAACCGTTTGATGGAACGGGAGACATCTCCGTGGCGGCCGAGTGGATCAAGAGATTCAATGAAGCGGCCCTTGATATGCAGCTGCCACCCCATATGAAGATGAGAGTGGCAACAAGGTTGCTAGAAGGAATGGCGTCCACGTGGTGGGACGGTGTCAAAGGGAAGTACGGTGAGGCGGTCACTTGGGAGAACTTCAGGCAAGAATTCTTTAGCCAATACTACTCCGACTTCGAGGTGAACTTGAAGAGGAGGGAGTACACGAATTTGACCCAAGGAGGGGAATGCACGGTGAAGGAACTTGAACACAAGTTCAGAAAGCTTGCTGAGTTCATACCGGAGTACATTTGTGATGAAAATCGGATGGTGAACCATTTCTGGGATGCCTTGGACCTTGACATACGTGAGAGGGCAACACAATTGCCTAATATGACATTTAGTCAAGTGGTGGAACAAGGTTTAAAGGGAGAGAAGGAGTGGGAAGAGAGGAAGCGAAGAAATGCCGAGGAGGCAAAGAAAAGAAAATGGGAGAACCATGGCCCCCAAGGTTCAAACAAGAAGATGAATCACGGGGGAGGAGGATCCTTCAGGGCACCCGCACCACCATCAAGGGGGAATCCCAACATGGGTGGGCAAAACTCGGGGTTACAAGCCTCGACGAAGCCTAAGTGCAGGAATTGCAAGAGAAATCACGAGGGCAAATGTCGTGATCCCCCACGGTGCTACCAATGCGGAGATACGGGGCACATAAGGCCTAATTGCCCTCAACTTGGTGGGAACCGGTCATCAGGACCAAACGTGACAACCACGGTGAGTAGAAACCGGGGTGGGGCACCCAATGCAAGCACGAACCACGGCGGGGCAAGTACAAGCAACGCACCCTCCGTGAACCAAGGAAGGACTCAAGCGAGAGTGTACGCAATGACCGAGGTCGATGCTCGGGCTAATCCCGACTCCGTCGCAGGTAATACACTTATTCTGGTCATTTCTAGGCTTACTTTGATCATATACGTCGTTGGGATTGAGTACGGGCCACCCCGGGGTCAAACCGGGTGAGTTAGGCCTAATCGGGCTGGAAACAGCCACTGCTGGCCAGGCACGCCCGCAGGCACGCCGTGCCTGGCATCGTGCCTGGAAGGCAGTGGCACCCGAAGAAGAGAAAAAAAAAAAAAAAAAAATTTGGGCCAGGCACGGCCGCAGGCACGCCGTGCCTGGCGTCGTGCCTGGAAGGCAGTATCGCCCGAAGAAAATTTGGCCAGGCACGGCCGCAGGCACGCCGTGCCTGGCACCGTGCCTGGGAGGCAGTGGTGAGCAGGAAGAATCCGAGGCACGCACGGCCGTGCGTGCCACCCAGGCACGCCGTGCGTAGGCCCCAGAACCCGAAAATCGAATTTTTTTCCGCTCCGTTCTTCTACGTTTGGACCCCCGATTGATTCCAAACATTAGTATGAACCTAATAACCTCCTAATGATGTGTAAAAACATTAGAAAAGGTATCCCACATGGTGTATAAATGTAGGAACATTAAAGATCAATGGTAGGTATGCGAGGATCCTCATCGATACCGGGGCACAACGCTCATTTATGAGTGAGGCGTTCGCCGAGGGCCTTGACGTGCCATTGACACCTGTGATGCAAACGTTGCTAGTCTCCACACCGTTAGGAGACGATGTGGAGAGAAATCATTACTATCCATCATGTGAGGTGGAAGTGACGGGTCAACCCTTGACGTGTGATTTCGTACCGCTGAGTATGATGGAGTTCGATGCAATCCTAGGGATGGATTGGCTAGAAAAGCATCATGCTAGGGTAGATTGCTACACAAAGGTCTTGGGACTCGAAGGCAATGATGGGGATACCCTACGCTTCGAGGAGGACCGAGGCAAATCAAACAGCTGTATCATATCCGCTGTGAGAGCGAGAAATATGATGAGAAAGGAATGCCACGCTTATCTAGCATACGTGGTTGACAAGACCAAGGAGGAAACGAACATCGACGACGTGAGGGTGGTTTGTAAGTACCCGAATGTCTTCCCAAAGGACCTGTCGGGGCTTCCACCTGATAGGGAGATTGAATTTGTGATCGAGGTCGAGCCCGGCACCAAACCAATCTCCATACCGCCATACCGTATGGCGCCCGCTGAACTTAATGAGTTGAAAACCCAAATTGCAAGAGCTTTTGGATAATGGCTTCATTAGACCAAGCCACTCCCCGTGGGGCGCACCGATTCTTTTTGTGAAAAAGAAAGATGGGACACTTCGAATGTGCATTGACTATCGTTAACTGAACAAGGTCACAATCAAGAATAGGTATCCTTTGCCTAGGATTGATGACTTGTTTGATCAACTACGAGGAGCAACTGTGTTTTCAAAGATTGACTTGAGGTCAGGGTACCATCAATCGAAGGTTAAGGAAGATGACTTACCAAAGAGTGCTTTCCGCACAAGGTATGGGCATTTTGAGTTCCTTGTTATGTCGTTTGGGTTAACAAACGCCCCAGCAGCATTCATGGACTTGATGAACCGAGTATTCCATAAATACTTGGATCGATTCGTGATTGTGTTCATAGATGACATTTTGATTTACCCAAAGAGTAAGGAAGAGCATGAAGAGCACTTGATACTCGTTCTTGAGACACTACGGGAGAAGCAACTTTATGCTAAATTTTCTAAATGTGAATTTTGGCTAAAGGAAATTGGCTTTCTCGGGCATGTGGTTTCGGGATCGGGAATTGCTGTTGATAATAAGAAGATAGGGGCCATTACCGAATGGGAGAGACCAAAGAACGTCAAGGAAATTCGTGGTTTCCTTGGGTTAGCAGGCTACTACAGGAAGTTCGTGTAGAAATTCTCCGTTTTGGCATCACCATTGACAAAGCTCACTCGTAAAGGAGCTAAGTTTGTATGGGATGACAAATGTGAGAAAGGGTTCATTGAACTAAAGAAGAGATTGATCGAGGCACCGGTACTTGCATTACCCAAACAGGGTGTGGGGTACGATGTCTATAGCGATGCGAGCATCCAAGGGTTTGGGTGTGTGTTGATGCAGGAGGGGAGAGTAATTGCCTATGCTTCACGACAGTTGAAGAAGCATGAGGTAAATTACCCTACCCATGACCTGGAGCTGGGAGCAGTAGTGTTTGCACTAAAAATTTGGAGACATTATCTCTACGGAGAGACATGTCACATATATAATGATCATAAGAGCTTGCTTAGTGAATTAGCATCGTGACTAGAGGAAGCCTCGAGCACGATGAAGAATGACTGGAGGAAGCCTCCAGCATTCGTGTAGGACGACTAGAGGAAGCCTCTAGCGTAACGTAATGTGACTGGAGGAAGCCTCCAGCACAACGTATGTAAGGTGATTAGAGGAAGCCTCTAACACCAATAGAAAAGTGAAGAAACTGAGGAGCAAAGAGGTCCCAATGGTTAAAGTACTTTGGAAGAGCGATCAGGTCGAAGGGAAGACATGGGGAAGCAGAGGCTTTGATGAGGAAGCAGTATGCTTTCCTATTCAAGTAGAGCTGTGAATTTCGGGGACGAAATTCCTGTTAAGGGGGGGTGAACTTGTGACACCGCACCCGAACGTCCTTGAAAAATTCAAGTTAAAAATTCAAAGTTTACGTATTGAATTTCTGATTCCCAAACAATTGTAAATGATTGATGATTTTACGTAATTAATGATCGATTATTTTACCGTCCGAACTCGCATATTAGTGTCGGGCTTGTGAATACTCATTTGGGCCTTATTAATAAATAAAATAGCCTAACATTATCTAAGTAGCGATACATAACGTTTCAGGACAAGTTGAAGAAGGGCGGGCAGCCCAGATATTATTTTGGGCTCAACCCGCTAAAATAGCAAGTATTCGAGGACGGCGTCGTAGGCCCACTCGGGGGCGACCCACACGGCTAGTAGCCCGATAATATGGATAACAAATGTCAAAATAAGTGATAGGATGATTTGAGATGAATACAAATGCCTATGATCCCATCTTTGACATTATTGAGCTAAATAATGGGAATATGATTGTCCTTCTATAATGTCCATCATGTAAATAATTGGGATGAGCCTACACATATTGGAGATCAATAATGTGATTTAGGAAGTTGACTTGTTCTAAATAAATTAGGATGAGTACAAAAAGACATCTTTTGACAAAGATAAAACAATAGGACCCATTTTCCCCATTTTTGGAAGTATTGGTAGATAGTTTGGATCCCAAAATGATTGGGATCAATTGGGAACCACTCCACATGATATTAGTACCTGCAAGACAAATAAAAATGGGTTAGGAAACTTACCTTGGCCGACCACCATGGAGAGGAGCTGCACAAGACTTGATAGGAATCAAATGTTGGGCCACCATCCCTATTTTCGCACAAAATTGTGTGCTGGTTGTCTCCACTCATTATGGGAGTTGTACTCGACCAAATGAGGTGTATAAGGTGTCCTTGGATAGCCTTTGAAGTCTAGTATCTCAATTGAGTGGTCTTTGTTCGAGGAGAGAGAGCTTATCTTACCAGAATCGAGCTGAAGTGAGTGGTGGTCTGTAAACTCGAGCTGTGAGAGTGCTGAGACTGTTTGGTTGATATCTCGAGTTATACCAATCCAAATAAGGCGTGCGAGATACCCACAGAAAGCTCTCAAGACGAGGAATCCGTGAAGGTCTGGTTTGCATCAATCGGAGTAGTGGAAGGCTTTCAAATCGTCCGAGCAAAACACAACCTCGCGGAATACGTTTTTGTATTCAAAGTAAGTTTGAATCCAAAACCTTCCTCTCTATTGTCTAAACCATATAAATGATTGAAGAACTATTATACACTGATTGAAGTGTATAAAATGTTATTATAAAGCGACTTTAATTGTTGGAAAAGTTAGATACTAATCTAGACAAAACCTTGAAAGGTTAGGGAACGATTTCGTCGGGAAACACCCGTTCTAGGGACTGTTTTTGTGCCTTCGGTTAGGAGTTGAACTAGCACTTTGAAGAGGCTGTTTAACACTCAATTCCAAGCAAGGAATCAGTCCTCAATCTTTCTTGGCCGAGGCTTTGGTCATTGGATCGAGAAGGAAAGTTTTAAAGCTCATTTGAGGTGAGGATGGCTGACTATATTGCTTATAATCTTTGGGTTAATTTCATAAGATTACCTAAAGTAATTAAATGTGATTTTCATGGATTATTAATGATTAATAATGCCTAAGTGAAAATATCATTGTTTGTGAATAGAAGATGCATAACATACAAATTTATGAGAAATTGTGTATGATGATGCATAATAAATGTGAAGGTATAATGATTGTATAAACCATGAATTTTTGTGATAAAATATACTTTTACTTCATGTATAGAAATCATGAATGGATAAAAGTGATATTTTTGATATTGAGATTAAATCGTATACGGATTAGAAAATCCATAGGAATGAGCCTTATAACTATGAGTTAAGGAGCTTGGGCTGTTTAAAGGTTTATGGATTAGTATTTAATTTACTAATCGGGAATGTTGTATAAAAAGTGATAGAACAATCCTAAGGACTTGGATTGTGAAGGATGCACCTTAAGTAGTCTTATGAGATGCCTTAAGGTAGGAAGGGGTAACCACTAAGTTACATTAGGAGTAGGCCTCATTGGCTACTCAAGATTGAGGAACTCTAGGCATGGAATTTGCTAGTGAGTTAGTATCGTGACTAGAGGAAGCCTCTAGCACGATGAAGAATGACTGGAGGAAGCCTCCAGCATTCGTGTAGGACGAACTAGTATCGTGACTAGAGGAAGCCTCTAGCACGATGAAGAATGACTGGAGGAAGCCTCCAGCATTCGTGTAGGATGACTAGAGGAAGCCTCTAGCATAATGTAATGTGACTGGAGGAAGCCTCCAGCACAAAGTATGTAAGGTGATTAGAGGAAGCCTCTAACACCGAATTTAGTGACTAGAGTAAGCCTCTAGCACGGCAGAACATGACTAGAGGAAGCCTCTAGCATGGTGAATTTAATATAGATGGGCGTGGCTTGAAGTCACGGGGAAAGGGTTGAACGTTTTCAAGGTAAAACATGGGTCTTCGGGCCAACTACTTGACTTTATATATAAAGTAAGTATATTTTCAAAGAGGGTAACCACGGGTTATGACCTATATTATATTATCACCCTATGTGAGGGTCTTGGAAATTGAAACTTTGATTATACTTAGTATAGTTGTCATTGTACTTGTCAAATGCTTCCAAGTACTGACCTCCCCTTCACGGGGGAGGCCACCTCACAGTTTCAGGTAGGACTTGAAGGTTGCTACCCGCCGCCGTTGCTTTGGGGAGGTTCAAGGAAGGAGACGTGGTTCGTGCTTCTTCCGTTCCTGTTTTGAAAACATTTTTAAATAATGCTCATGGATACTATTTGAATATTTATTTGGGCTTGTATGCCCGTGTTTGCCACGTGTGGCTTGGATACTTGAATTAATGTTTCCGCTGCTTGATTAAATATTTTGCATTATGATTGTTTATGGATGTACTATTGTGAATGATATTCATGACGCCTAGTATAGTATGGATGAGTTGGACTGCGGTTGACTATTCGTACTGTACGGCGGGTTGTTGACGTGTCCGGTGGGTCCGGGGCGTGACACTAAACCCTAAACCCTAAACCCTAAACCCTAAACCCTAAACCCTAAACCCTAAACCCTAAACCCTAAACCCTAAACCCTAAACCCTAAACCCTAAACCCTAAACCCTAAACCCTAAACCCTAAACCCTAAACCCTAAACCCTAAACCCTAAACCCTAAACCCTAAACCCTAAACCCTAAACCCTAAACCCTAAACCCTAAACCCTAAACCCTAAACCCTAAACCCTAAACCCTAAACCCTAAACCCTAAACCCTAAACCCTAAACCCTAAACCCTAAACCCTAAACCCTAAACCCTAAACCCTAAACCCTAAACCCTAAACCCTAA